AATCTACCCACAACTGGATGGACTTGCGTTTCTTCAAGAATAAGTTACTACAAAATAAAAAAAAAACAAAAGCACCTCCATGGGGATTATTAACATAAAGGTGGAGCATATGGTATTCAAGGCACAGAGGAATAGGGTACTCATAGCTAAGACTGGCTGAAGGATGCAGAACTAGATATTTAAGGAAGCTACTTTGTATTCTCAATACAAAGTCAGTGAAAAGGAATTAACTGGAAGTATAAAATAAGAAATTAAGAAGAGGCAATATGTTGAGTAAGGACTTTCCGGGGTCTTTTCTCTCTTGATTTTACTCTGCCCTGTGCACCTGCCTCATTCTACATTCTTCATTCTCTCACTATAGCCCAGTCCACGTGGCAGTGAAGGTTACCAGAAGTGTCCTGTACAGGTCCACATAAATAGAGACAGCCTGACTTGTGTTTTCTTCTCTAGCTTTCTCTTGTTCTCAAGGGGGAACACACTGATTTTTCCTATGTTGGGTCTCATGCAACCCAGCCAGCCCCCAAGGCAACCTCCTGAAGACATAGGCAATTCATGGGAAAGAATGCTGGGGCCCAGGACAGTACTGAGATGAGAGGCAAGCATGCCTGAAAAGGTGGCTGAATGAGACTGGGAAAGAACATAAAGAAACTCCATCAACAGAACCAATTTTTGAAACCGTTCAGAGCAGAACCAATACTGAAAAATAATCACTGTTATGATAGAAACTTGACTTCACTTAGAATGAGTTCAAATAGAAAAAAGAAACAAAAGGAAGATCAAAAAGCTTTAACAAGTCTTCTTGCCTATTTTAAAATAATTCTTTTGTTTTCAGAAGCCCTTCCTTGCCAGTTTTCCTTAGTTTTTACATTTTAATACCTCTTGAAATGAATAATTAGTTTATTTCTGTTCTTTCTTGTTTAATATTAAAAATATTTCAGGCTGTTACTATGCTTTTATTTATAGATTTGGCCTCATCCCAAAAGTTTGGGGAAAAATCCTTATTTGTTATTTTCTTAATATGTAATTTTAGATGAGGATATAGTCTTCAAATCCCAAGATTTTTCTCTTTGTAAATACTTTTTTTTTTTTAAGTTTATTTGTTTTTGAGAGAGAGCATGAGCGTGCATGAGCAGGGGAGGGGCAGAGAAAGAAAGGGAGAGAGAGAATCCCAAGCAGGCTCCATGCTCAACGCAGAGCCCCACGCTGGGACTCAGTCTCACGAACTACAGGATCATGACCTGAGCCAAAATGAAGAATTGGGCGCTGTAACCAGCTGAGTGCCTCAGGCACCCCTCTAGTTGTAAATACTTACTAGTTACTTGATATACTGAATTGTAGATAGAGACCTGTACAAGATTTAGCATTTCAGATTTAATTTTCACTGGGTTCTGAATAAAATGGGTTGTATTTATTAACTCCAAACATATCCCACGTTTGTATGGGAAAAATATAAATATAAATATACATGTATTCCACTTTATCTCATTGTGCAAATTCTCTGAGCTTGTTTTTTTTGGTTTGGTTTGGTTTTGTGGGCAGTGTTGGCCTTTTATTTTCTAAACTCATCAAAGGCTGAAAGAGTTCTTTAAAAGACATCTATAGCAATTGTAATTCTCTTTTTCTTTATAGAATCTGATGTAATTATTTGCCTCATAAAGATCCATGACTGTTATTTTTCATGATGAAAATGATCTCTTAGAGTTATTATGAAGATTAAATAAGACAATGCTTACAAAGCACATACTCAGTAATTGGTATATGTCAAGTGCTCTGTAAATGTTAACTATTACTATTGTTTCCTAAATTAGTAATTTCTGCTTTTATCCATATTAATTTCCAGCTCTTGTATGTTTCCTCTTTCTTAAATTGAATGGCTATTCCATTTGTTTGAAATCTTTCTCATTTAATAGGGGAATCTTTTAAAGCTGTGAATAGTCCTTTAGCTGTATCCTACATGCAATCTCCTTTTTTACAAATCTCTAAATGACTAACAATTTTAATTTTTAGCTTTTGGTTCAAATTTGCCATGAAGTAATGCACTGTTGGAACCTATAAGGTTTTTCTGTCACTAAGGGCATAGCAGACTTTAAAACTACTCCATGGACGTTAAGAAAAGAATTACTATTCTCGGTTTTTATTCTGTACCCAGTTCATACATCAGTTCATATCCTTTACATTCTTTATGTAGGCTTACATATTCTTTGTCTGCTTAATTACTCAAATTCTGTGAGATAAGTTTTAAATTCTCTCCATCACCCCTGATTTATATCCTGGCTGCCTGTAGGATTTTAGTCTTTTTGCTTTAGAAAACTATAAATATTGTTTTACTCTGTTGCAGCTTTCTGAGTTGCAGAGGGAAAAATCTCTTGCTAGTCTCATTTGTTACTGGTAAACTCTTTTCTCTGCTTGGAAGCTGGATAGATTTGCTCTTTGTCCTTTCAGGTTGGAGAATTTTCCATGTCATATAGAAGGTCTTTTTTTGTTGTTAACCTGGGCTGACAATCGGGACCCTTAATCTGAAAACTCAACTCTGAGATATACTTTCTTGTTATTTCTTTAATTGTTTCTCTTCCTCATCTGCTTCTTTATCTGGTTTTGAAAGTTTTATTAGTGGGTTTTTGGATCTCCTGGATCTATCTTCTATTAAGCTTTTCTTTTTAATTTCCAAATTACCACTCATTGTCTGTCTTACTCTCTGTTTTAGAATAATTGCCCATTCATTTACTGTATTATTAATGAATTTTTTATCAGTATTTATTCCATTTTCACTACCTTAATTGGATTTTTAAATTAAATACATCATAATTTTAGCTAGCAAACAATTCTTTGTTATTCTAAGCTGTCCCTTCTTCTTTTGTATAATTTTCTCTTCAGATAACAATGAATTATTTTTAGTGCTTTCCTGTTTTCAGCACTATATTTCTGCTATAATTATTTCCTATTTCAATGAGCTCTGTTCTAATTTCAACTTAATTTCTATCCTTAAAATTGTGAATCACTCTGAAATGTTTACTAACTTTTCATTTCCTGATTAATATTGGTACTCACCAGGCCTGTGGTGAATGTCCTAGTTATTTGTTTCTTCTGAACCCATTTAGTTTTGTCCAGAGGGCAGCGTGGTAGCGTAGGGCTAGCAGGTGGGAGAATGCAGGTTATGAATCTAACTGAGAGCACAGCATAGAGGGAGCCAATGGGCTATGGCAATTCCCAGGAAATTTCGATCTTACAGGACAAATGCCCTCCCAGTTTTACAAGAGTACAACAGTTCGGTTTATATGGAAGAGAAGAAGCTGGCATCACTAGCATTAGAAAGTTCTTCCCTCAACCCTGCAAAACAAATAGACAAGACATCAGAAATAATATTTATTAAGAATTGTTTGGAATAGCTGGGCTTTCTCGAGAATCCACTGGGTTAGTTGTTGTCACCCTAGGCTTTACCAGAGTGGCAGACAACCAACTCGTTATGGACCACTCCGCAAACAGTGGTGTGCAGCTACTGACCTGAAGTACTTTTACCTGTTTTGTATCATAGGATCCAAAAGGCTCCAAACTCCAGCATCAGATCAAACATCTTCTCTTATATTAACAATTAGCCAGATAGATGTATTACCTCGGGGGGGGGGGAGGGGTAAGGGGAGAAGAAATCAAGTACAAACACTGTATTTCCTCCTATCTCACCGTAGTGTGCTGAAAAATATAAAGCAATATGGTTGCATTATAATAAACTAGGACTAGCTTCAAAAGACAACCGGCCTTGCTAGAAAATTTCTGTATGAAAGAAGATTCTGGATCAAGTCTTTCAAAACCAGTGTCATAATTTCTTTTAGATGCCCCCAACGTGTAACTGGCCTACTACTAGGATCTCTAAGAAATGAGTTAGCACAGTCTTCGTTTTGGCAATGCAGATGGGATATTGACAAAGACATTGGCTTTTGAGAAAAGGAAGGAATGAGGCCCTCCCACTCTGATTAATAGGAGTCTGTTACTTAGAGATTCATTCAGCCATCTAGAGGTATATTTTACAACTATTTTATTTTGAAGAGTTTACCATAAAGTTATATTTCAATAGGTGTTCCGTTGACATCTTACTGAAAAAAATCATACCTACAGTAAACCAAGATATCAGCTAATGCGTCATCTACAACTTCCCGCTGGAGTTGCACTTCTCCGGGAAATTTCACCCAGGAGGCCAAAGCTCTCTTACAGCATTTAGAACCCAATGACAAACAAACAAACAAACAAACAAACCCCTTTAAGATCTTTTACTGTTCTTTCTGAAGGGGTGTAGGGTTGACTTGGTAGAATGCAAAAAGGGTCAAGCTGTAAGATGGCCCAACTGTTGTCATTCTTCCCTGGGTATTACATCCCATCGTCCCCTGTCTCCCACCTGAACCAGCCAATATTCTAAGATTTTTCTGGTTTCTTTTTCTACTGGTTGAGGATTTTCCTCCTTTCACACTAAATTTAAGTGACTATGGCTGTCACTGTTGTCTCCTGGTGGGTGGAAACTACCAGAGATGAATCTCAGTACCAATTTTTACATGAGGGTAGATCTGCAGTGCCCAAGTCATGACCAGGCCATGAGTGACCACCAGATCAGAGAGGACATCCTCGTCTCCCATCACCCTTCATGGAAAGGGGGTTAACAACAAGCAGGGAAACACTTGGAGTCTGTCTTTAAATCTCCTTCCTTGTAACAGACCGAAGGCTGCCTCCCCGAAGTTCATTCTCACTACCAAGTGATGAAAAAGAGGACACCATTTATTGCTAAGTCAGCTATACAATTATGTCATGTTCACTACTGATTCCCACAGACTCCCCTCCATTCCTGTTAGTTGGTCTGAGAGGCTCTCATCCTTTCTTTTCCACAGAGTGATATGTCTGTCAGCATTCCACCCACATTACCCAAATCATCAAAAGGTGTGAAGGAAATTCACATGATGATAAATCAGTTTGCCACAGTTTCATGGATGTTGAAAAAAATACACCATTCTCTTGACTTGGAAACAAAGGACTTTATTACTCACAGCAATAGTAGTAGCCAAAGAATCAATGTTGCTCTTATTTTCCAAGCCCCAAGTCCCACAGGGTGGCTCGAAGAAGGCCAGGTGATTCAGGCTTCGGGTTGTGTCAGAGGGAGGAATCTGTGACTAGGGAGTATGTGCTCTGGAGGAAGACACTATCTCTGTCATCCAAGGCTGTTCTCCTTTCAAACATCTTTAGAAAGACAATCTGTAGCAAAGGAGGCAGTATTTCTGCTTGGAAGATGTGCAGAAATGCGAGACAGTCATGGAAATTGTTCTCCAAGACAAATTGATCAGGAAGGATTGTTGGAACAGTTTGTGATACTTTGAAAACATAAACCAGTTCCTACTCTAATAACTACAGGCCATACATGAGGCCTGACATTACTTGACCTTGGCAGTGTCTCAGACATCATCTTTCTAAATTCCAGCACACTGACCTGCTTGCAGGTCTTGGACAAAGTGCTCTCCTATCTTGACATTGCCGATGCTGGATTGATTGGTACATGGCTCCCTCTTTCCCTTCATTTAGGTCTCTATTCAAACATGTATTGCTATCTGTCAAAGTCAATGTTTATTAGCTTATTTCTTTTAAAAATTTTTAAAATATTTTTTTGAGAGGGAGAGAAACACAGTGTGGGGGGGAGGAGGGGCAGAGAGAGAGAGAGGGAGACACAGATCTAAAGCAGGCTCCAGGCCCTGAGCTGTCAGCACAGAGACTGACTGGGGCTTGAACTCAAAACTCACAAGATCATGACCTGAGCCGAGGTTGGATGCTTAACTGACTGAGCCACTCAGGCGCCCCTATTAGCTTATTTCTTTATTATCATCCACTCTTTTGGATTATTACCTCTCTGAAGCTAGAGGTTTTGCTAATTTGTCCCCTGTCCTTAAATTAGAGTCTGCCTGTCACTTGATAGTCCCTCAGTTACTATTTGTTAAGTGAAATATGATGATGTCATTCATTTCTTTCTCCCTCAAAAGAACTACTCATCTGCTTACTATTCACAAGCCAACATATAGAGAACTGGGCCCTAACACAGCCCTGAATGTATACAGTTATGAAGATTGATTCTTTGTGGAAAATGATACTTTCAATTTCCCATAGTGTGTGTTTATTTCTGCAGATAGCCAGTAGACAATGAAGTTTCGCGTACATGTCTGGACTGCTGCAGTCACACCCTACTCTGTCTCCCAAATTTCCTTCTTGCTCTCCTACGACATACTCTCCCTACAGAGTAATAACATTGCAATAAACTTCAGATCATATCACATCACTCATTCAAAACCTCCAATGCATCCCATCACATTTAGAATAATAGCTAAAGGCTTAATTATGGCCTTGTGGGCCATGTCCTAGTACCTAGCTGTCAGGAAAGGCAGAGTTCAAGGTTGGCGAAACAGCAGGAGACTTAGGAGAAGTCCTAGAAATAAAGGGTGGCTCGCAGAATCTAAACATAAACTCTCCAAATCCCTGGGTAACTGCAACTGCGCTTGGGAAATAGCAGGCAAAAATAAAGGAGGATTCTTGCTGGGAAGGACAAACTACAGTGGTGAATCTGTGAGCTCGCTGTTCTTTCAGACTTCAAGACAAGGAGACTACTAGTCATGAAAGGAGACATTTCACGATGATTAAAGGATCAATAGATTATGCAGATATTACAATTACACTACAGAGTTTCAAAATATATGAAACAGAAACTCACAGGGATAAAGGCAGAAGTAGGCAAATCCACATTTATAATTGGAAATTCTAACATCCTTCTCTTAGTGGTTGATAGAACAACTGTATAAAAAACTGGTAAAGATATAGATCAAAATGACTGTGTCAACCACCTTAACCAAGCTGGCAGTGACAGAACATTATGCCTAATAACTGAAGACCATAGTATTTTTTCAAATGACGTGGAACATTCACCAAGTTAGATCACATCCTAGGCAATAGAATAGTTCCAAGTTTATTAAGAGAGAGAAATTTTCAGAGAATGTTCTCTGATTTCAGAGAAATTAAATTAGAAAGGAATAGGGGTACGTGGGTGGCTCAGTTGGTAAGCATCCGACTTCAGCTCAGGTTATGATCTCGTGGTTCACGAGTTCAAGACCTGTGTCAGGCTCCGTGCTGACATCTTGGGGCCTGGAGCCTGCTGTGGACCCTGTGTCTCCCTCCCTCTCTCTGTCCCCCCACTGATTGAACTCTGTCTGTCTCTCTCTCAAAAATAAACATTTAAAAAAATTTTATAAAAGAAAAGAATAATAAAATAATACCTAGAAAGACCCACAATATTTTATAAATGGACACACTTCTAGATAATTCATCGAGTCAATGAAAATATCACCAAGTCAACCAAAAAGTATCTTAAATAAAATGAAACGTAACATATCAAAGTCAGAGGGATGAAGCTAAAATGGTGCTTGGATGAACTACATAATTATAAATGCTGATATTAGAAACTTTCAGTGCTCCTCTTCTGCCACAGTTTTAGGACAAAGCCTGAAATCCACAAAGCAGTGCATTAAGTGTAACCTGGCTCTGTCTCCCATGTTCTGACCTCATCCTCTACATCTTCCGACAGAGTCCTTATGGGTACTTCTTTAAAAAAAATTTTTTTTAATGCTTATTTATTTTTGAGAGAGAGACAGAGAGAGACAGAGAGCACATGAGCAGGGGAGGAGCAGAGAGGGAGGGAGACACTGAATCCGAAGCAGGCTCCAGGCTCTGAGCTGTCAACACAGAGCCCAGCATGGGGCTCAAACTCATGAACAATGAGATCACGACCTGAGCCAAAGTCAGACACCCAATCAACTGAGCCACCCCCCCTTTATTTAAAATTTTAATGTTTATTTATTATAAAATTTGTTTAATGTTTATGTATATTCTTATAGGAACTTTTCAACTCCGCACCTTCATGGCATGCCTTGTAGCAATCCCTCTACACAGAAAGCCCTCTTGACTCTTTTTTTCTTGAACTTTTCTTATAAAATTCAGCTCAGGCAATGCTTAATCCATGACCAGTCAGGCCGAAGTAAGTGTCTTTCATTCCTTTATTTTTTGCTTCAGTATTACTGCAGAGAAAAATTTATGTTTTCTTTAGCATTGCTGGGGAGAGATGAGCAAGCGTCACTTCATCAGGGAAATTAGTCTTCCTGAAAGTATTTTGATGTGTCCTCACCACCCTAACTCACTCATCTTTTGCTAGGCGCCTAGTTAGCATGACAAGGTGGCCGAATGGTTAAGGCGATGGACTGCTAGGCACCTAGTTGTCTTTTTTCTCTTTACCTTTAGGCTTATATTAATTTTTTTGAGGTCAGAAAGGATTACACATTGTAGTCTTATCCTATTTGTATCTCCCATTTTATTCTTCATCAGCGAAAATTGTGTTTATGAGGTCTGCATAGCTTCTCAAACATTTTGGACTCTCCTCCAGGAATTCATGCATTGGGCCCAAATCTGTTTTTTTCTCTGAAGTTTTTTGGACTCTGATCTCCTAAAACTGTAGCTACCAGGTCTAACTCCCTCTATATTTTCACTTAGTGGCTATCAAAGGCTCCACGATGACTTTCTTGCTTTTTTCAGGGATTTTAACATTTTCTTTTTGATACTCAGACAGGTTTTTCTTATGGGTCAGATTTAGTCCAGAAGTTTCTTTCTGTTGGTTTTGAGTTCTAATTTTCAGGAGATATAAACAGTATCAAGAGAAACTTAGCTTACTTCACAAGTTCACGAATATGGACCCCAAGCAGACCAACACTTGGCAACCCTGAAACTAACATTGGCTAAATATTCGTTCATTCAACATTTGCTCGGGGGGAGGAGGGTAATAAATTAATTTTATGTTAATTAAAATGTTCATGTCTTTATATTCAAAATTAGATATTATGTCTATAAGCTATTAAAAATTTTTTTAATTTAGAAATAATAAACCAAAAGAAAAGTTACAAGAAAAAGAATCACATACAGAATGCCTCAGGGTATATTTCTTAAGAATAGGATAGGGCACCTGGATGGCTCAGTCGGTTGGGCGGCTGACTTCGTCTCAGGTCATGATCTCATAGCTCATGAGTTCAAGCCTCGCATCGGGCTCTGTGCTGACAGCTCAGAGCCTGGACCCTGCTTCAGATTCTGTGTCTCTCTCACACTCTGTCTCTCAAACATAAATAAACATTAAAAAAACTTTTTAAAATAATAACAATATTTATTTATATAACCACATACATTTATCTACTTTAACACCTTTAAATTTTGTTGAATCCCTCTTTAGTATTCCAAATGTGTCAATTGACCTAATAATGTCCTATATAACATCATTTTTCCTTCAGTACAGGATTCAGTCTAGGATCCAGTATGACATTAGTTATCACATTTCTTTAACTTCTTTTGATCTGGAAGATTCCCTCAGCTTCTCTTTGCCTTTTAATGACATTGACATTTTTGAAGAAAAATCCTCCATTTTAAAAAAATAGAATATTCCTCTTTTTTTAAGTTTATTTTTTTATTTTGAGAGAGAGAAAGAATGGGGAAGGGCAGGGAGAGGAGGAGGGAGAGAATTCCAAGAAGGCTTTGTGCTATAAGGGCAAATCTCAGTGCAGGGCTTGATCTCACAAACTGAGATTATGACCTGAGCCAAAATCAAGAGTTAGATGATTAATTGACTGAGCCACCCAGCCACCCTGTAGAATGCTCCTCATTTTTGATTTGTCTAATGTGTCTTCATGGTTAGACTGAGTTATGTGTATGTAGCATTCCCTGGAATATTACACAGAAGAAGCTACAGCCTTCTCAGAACATCATGCCCTCCTGCCTCTTACTGTTGTTGGTAACGTTGATCACATGGTCAGGCGTGTTCTGGTCTCTCCACTGTATTGATATTACTTTTTTCCTTGTCTTTTTTTTTGCAGGGGGTTTCTATATAATTTTTTTTTAATTTATGTAATGCAACTTAAAATTCCTTTCTACTGCATCTGGACTTTTATTCATAACTAGAAATCCCTCTTACTCAGATTAGAGAATTTACCTCCTTTCTCGTCTAGCTGTATTTTTGTCATGTTTACTTGGAGTTCTCTGATTGATTGGGGGTTATTCTTGTCTATGATGCAAGAAATTGGGTCTAATTTTATTTTTCCCCAAATGGCTATGTAGTTATTCCAATATATTTATTAAAAATAAACCAATTTTTGCCTCAGTAATTAGAGAGCCCCCTTTATCATACA